GAGCCGGCGTCGCTCCGCGAGCAGCGGTGCGCCGGCCCGGTGGAACGGGAGCGTGACTAGACGTGAGTATGCCGCGTTGTAAACGCGCGGAGAGATGGGCGGTGGGTAACGCGCTTTGTTTAACGCGGTGTGGGGCCTGGGCCTGCGTCGGGTCTGATGAAACCGGCTGGTGTAGCGCGTTCGAGGTTTCCGCAGCAGCCGCTTCCGATTTTTCCGGTGTTTATTCCCTTTAATATCCCAGCGTTACCCTTGTATTGATCTGCAGCTTTGAAGTTCACAAAGCAGAATGCGCCTCGCGGATTCCACGTGGAAATTGTTGCACGGTAACTAGCGTTGCCTGCGAGGTAGGGGCTTTTGCCTGCAGAAGCTGCGGTCCACAGTGTGTCGTAGTCTCCTTTTTTTTTCTGTCGTGTGAGAGAAGGGGGAGCCTTTCTGTTAAGGTGCGTGGGAAAATTAAAAGATAAGAAAGGTTAGCGTGAAGCTCCTACGTACGAAGAAAAGGAAACTAAAAAGTCCTGAAGAATGCGATATGAACTTGTGTTTCCAGTTGCGTTGGACAACTCTCTTCCCTTTTGACAAAGCGAGTTGAATTCTGGACTAGAGGCAGGACAGAAAAGCGGATCTCGGCGCAGCTGGACCACGTGAAAAAATCAGGCCATCGGCGAAGGTGGGAAGGAACGAGAAATTGTTACTGCCCCTGCCCCCAGCTATTGTTAGTCGTATCAACGTAACAGGCTTTGTAAAGCCTAACCCCATAGGTAACATCATGACTTTGACTTCTTTGGGAATGTTTGCACAGCAGTCTTTCCAGCATACTTTCCGTAGCTCTTAGTTTCTCTCTATTTTCTTTTGTCTAAGTGTAATCCCCCGATAATAACTTGCTGGGATGAGATGAAGAGATTACATCGTTGAGGAAGGCGACTTGGGAAGAAATGCTTGTTTTTATTACATGGCACCTGTTTTTTTTCAGAGAAGTCGTTTTCACTTACAAGGCCTGTAAGTTGCATCGGTGCAGTAACAGACATTTGAATAAAGCCTGGGGAACGTGAATGAGCGTCCTCTGCAATTTGACCGAAGGAGGGCTTAACTTTCTCAGCAAGTATCTGGGGCGGTTCGGTTTTGGCCTTCTGTTTTGCTGCTTAAAGGAGATGACGTTGTCTGGCATCTTCAGAGCGGAAGGGTTAAGAAGGCTTGCTAAGCAGTTAGATTTGAAAGTAACCGCACAAGTTGGAACAAATCTTAACGGCATAGGGCAAGCACGGTGTTCTTGAAGTTCTGTAGTCCTTAACTGTAGCAGAGCAAACCCCTTTTTGAAAGGGTTTAATCGAATGATCTCCTTCAAAGTGCAGAGCGAGGGCTGATATTATTTTTGGATGGCGGTTGCCTCCTGGCGTTAGAAAGTGCAAAATGACCAGAATGGGATATTTGCGTGTAATGAGCCACCTTGGCATTGCTTTTCCAGACGTGGACCGGGAATGGTTTTGTTTTGCTGACGTCAAGCATCGTAGGGCAGAGAATATTTAAAAATACCGTCTGCCGCTCCTTTTGAAAGGATGTATGAGGAAGTCGCCTAAGACCGGGTCACGTGGATTTAGAGCTCCGACGGTTACAGGTTTCGTAAATAAAGCTATAGCACCTACCGCCTGGTCCCGGTACACGGTACGTTGGCCATATGGGCACGGTGTGTTTTCTGAGAGACTTTGCTGTGTGTCACTTCTATGAGGCAAGAAGGCGGAGCGTTACCGCTTGGAAGAACAGCGTGTCGTCTCAAGGCAAGTTTTGTTCTCATAGGAAATACGTGGAATCAGCCTCTAGAAGTATCGCGCGGGTACAAACGAGGGTAGGCTGTCTGCGTAGGGTTGTGTACCCCTGTAACCCAGCTGTTGGTTTTACCCGCTAAATTACGCCTTCTGTCTGTTACGGATGGATCGGGAAATTGACTCGTTCCAAATGTTACCTATCTTAACGCTTGGTTTATGTATATAGTGCCTTCCTATTTTGAAGTGTGTCAGAGACCTCGCTGGTGAAGCTGCGTCTTGCTTATTGTCACTGTTTTGGACAGATTTGGTTCATCGGACCTGTCTCGGTGATGTTCCCCAGCTAGTTATTGTTTTCCTTCGAAGAAAGGAATTTTTTTTTTTTTTTTTTTTTTTTTTTTTGTTCCTGTTCAGTCCTTTGCTTTCCCAGGTGAAGTTCTCTCCGCTTCATGCTTGATGTGACTTCTAACTTCCTCCTTTGCATTGTTAGAATCACTTGGAAAGGTTGGCGTAATTTCTTCTTTGTTGCTACCTGCGCCAAGTGAAATTGTCCTTTCTAATAGAAATGTAGCGGCACCCGGGTCTCCTTTTTTGTTCCGTTGTGTTCTGTTCTTTGCTTTCCCAGGTGAAGTTCTCTCCGCTTCATGCTTGATGTGACTTCTAACTTCCTCCTTTGCATTGTTAGAATCACTTGGAAAGGTTGGCGTAATTTCTTCTTTGTTGCTACCTGCGCCAAGTGAAATTGTCCTTTCTAATAGAAATGTAGCGGCACCCGGGTCTCCCTTTCCCGCCTGAGATCTAGCTGGCTAGCGTTAGAAAATGGGAATGGATATTTGCATCCCCGCCCAGGCTCTCGTGCTGTCGAAGGATCGAGTATTCAAAGTTGCTCATCGGTTTTAGGATGAGCTTGTCCTCTGGCGGGTTTTCCAGAGATCGAGTGCTCTGTTCCCAAGAGGTTTGTGGAAAAATGGATCTTTCCACAAAGGGATGAGGTTGATCTGCCAGACGCGGGGATAAAGGTCAAGTTAACCATCAAACTGTAAGCTACCCGTCAAACCGTAAGCTGTGTTCGCTTTTGTGAATTTAGCCGTTCCTCCTCTGGGGATTCTTTGTCTTTTAATTTCCTTTAATGTCGTCAATGGCTCGCGCTTAGTTGTCGACGACTGAGAAAACGGTGAGGTGCCTGTCCCAAAATACAGTAAGAAGTTTTCATAGAGGGGGGGGAAAAATCGGCTCGCCCTATTGTTGTGTTGGCGTTTCATTTCTTGTACCGGTTACTTGGAACGAGTTCGGAGACCTTCGTTGTACCCTAAGGGAGTTAGAAAACAGTCCCTTAAGTACACCGAGGGCAGGAGTCGTCCAGAGCGTGGGCCTGACTCCTCTGAGAGAAGGTAGGGCTGATGGCGAGCGTTAACCTAATGAGTACTAACCGGGCTGCGTTCTTGATCTCTCGGGATGAGGTACGAGAAGAATGACAGGGTGGTGCTGTAGAATGTGGCTGCGGGACTACCTGCTGCAGGCGCTTGGAGCTGAAACTTTTGTCTGGAGCTAAACGAGACTAGATTATGTACTGTAAGATTATGCCCTTGATAGTTACGCTCGGTAAGATGTGAGAAACGTGATCTGGTGTTTAACGTGTCAGCTGCTGAAGTTCTTCCTTCTGCCTGCTTCTATCCCTTTCTCCCTAGCTCCTCCTCCCCGCCTTCCCACGGTCGTGCAGATAGCCGGGTGCGACGTTGAAGCCGAGATCCGCATCCTGAAAAAGCGGTCCTTTTTGCTGCGGAAAACTTTGCAGCGTCAGGATATGCTCGGCCCATTTGTTGTACGGAAGCCGAAACCCTGCAGATCCTGCTGGCGTTGAACCCTCAAAGCCAGCTCTTTCTTTTGTGACTGAAAGTAAGTTTGTTCTGATACGATGCGTATTGTGTTGAGGGGACCCGCTGCCGTGAGCGACGCCCCTGCGGTTGGCTCGGTACGGTGGTTCGCGTGGGGCAAGCCACGGCACCCGTTACTTCCCTTTTCAAGACCTGAGGGGGAAATTGAGGTCTGGTCTTTGCGATGGAGCATGCGCGAGGCAGAGGCCTTTCATCTTTGGAGAGAGGACTCGGCGAGAGGGCGCGAACTCCTGACAGCGCCCCCCCCCCCCCCCCAGAAACATACCCTCTCCTTCGCGCCCCTCTTGTCCGAATGCCGCGGTCGTGGTGGTCGAGCGTTGTTGCCCCAAAATCAGGGTTCTTCTACCCGGTGTGCGAAAAGTCGATCGACACACAGAGTCGAGATACTTTTTTGTTTCATGTCTGCGCAGAGACAGGTGCTAGGTCAACTGGTCACAGCGCTAGCACACCTGGTTCCGGTACTGAGAGGTTTATGTACGGTTTAGTAGACGGTGAATCGGGGATGGAGGTGGAAGTCTTAGCGTGGGCCCTGAATCCAAGTAACGCTCGCGAAGCCACAGAGATACGTAATGGTTGTTCAAGACGACTACTTGCGTAATGATTTGATTCGCGTCTGAACTTTGCAGTCTAACCTAGAAAATTACTGCGTTGCTACATTTGGCCTTGACTCGCAGCTGTCCGTTATAATGCAGTTGTTTATGAGGCATCTCTTTGTCAGGCGACAAAACAATTGAAAATTAGCGTTGTGTCTTTTAGCTGGTGCTTCGGTACTGAGTTTTTGCGGGATGCGTTCTGCCAAGGAGTTCTTCGCTGACTTACGTGGGAACTTTCGCATCACAGCCTGTAGGGTCGAGAGACCGTACTGTAGAAGCGAGACTGTTTCAGTCTCGGTTGTTGCAACTCTGCTAACGTGTTGCGAGGCTGAGTAACTTTTCGTTGCGTGCCTTGAGGAACTATGTTTTTGAGCGATCTAGGGGGCTGCCAAATGAGAAGATAGTATGATACCGATTCACTAAATAATATGAAAGCGTTAACTGTAGTTGGGAAAAAAGTTCAAGACGACGCTCCTCTGATGTTTTAAAAGTTCAGCGCCGTTAGATGAAGTCGGCCTCAGGTTGACCGCAGTCTTCTCCGTGTAGTCCGCGCGTACCTTCCGAAGACCGCGGAACAGGAGGTGTGTTCCAGACCGGCTGTATGTCAGGTTTTTTTTGTTTTGTTTTTGTAGTGGAATTGCATGAAAGGTAGTCCTCCTGTCTGCCGAGATCTTGAAGGAGAAGCGGTGTCTCCTTTTTTGCGGCGCATTGTAGCTTTCGGGTAAGCCTTATCGTAAAAACCGTTCCCCTGTGGCCTTCTCTCCCCTCGTGTCTGTCTCCTACGGAATTATTCTCGGCATCCGGTCGAGGGAAGGGGACGTAAGGCCTGATAGCGCTCGTCGCAATCGGCAGCGACTCCTTCTCCGCTCCCTGTCTGATTCCACCTGTGCTCTCCTTTGAAGTCCCGAGGGGAGGCGAGGATAGATTTATGCTTGGAAGCGAGCGATCTCACTTGATCCGGGGTAGACTTATTCTTAGCTCTTTTCATTGTCGCATTTTTTTCATTTTAGCTGCATCGACTGACAAAAAGCCGTAAGGAAGCGCAGCTCTGCAAAACTCGGTTTAGTAGCGTAATTATTGTGGAAGAGCAGAAGGTTGTGAGTATGTCCGGCTCTCGGCGTGCATGCGGAGCGGTGGAGGGTCTCTGCCCTCAGATTTGTAAGCCCGCTTCCACAGGCTCGTTGGTATGGCTGGGAGGAACTGTAGATTCCCGTCTCGATTGCCTGTTCGAAAGCTATCGTTACTGTCCTCTGGGTGTGCTGTCTCGTTTTCCCTTGCCCGTAGTCCCGAGAAAAGGAAAGGAAAATGCCAAAACCGGAGTAGAAGGCGCGTGGTTTGCCATAAAAGGGTAACAGAGGGAGGCTAGCGTTCCTGAGTCCTAGTCCTGAAGGAAGCTGCTCGGTCGCTTCCTTCTCGATAGTCTGTTTCCGTCTGCGGTTTTGTTGTTTCTACGTGGCTTCTTTCAGCTCGGTGACTTTTAAAACGATACCTCCTAATCTCGCTCGGGTCTAGATTTGCCCACGTTTCCTCGTGTTTCCGAATCACGGTGAACGTGAGAACGTGACCGCGTATGGTAGGAGCTTCATAGGAGGCCATTCGTAGTCAGAGCATGCCAGCGTCTGATTTTGGGCGGGTTCTGCGAGGAGCGCGATCCGAGGGAGCCGGCAGCGGGCAGATGAGGGTCAGCCCGCCCCCGGGCCGTGTCTCGTTCTCGTCCTTGGTACTCGAGAGGGCGGCTTCAGTCACAAGGTGCCGCTCTTTTTCGTAGATCTTTAAATGTTAGCAGCTGGTATTTTGTATTTCCTCTTTGGATTTCAGGTTACTTGCCTGAAAACGGGGCAAAGACTTGCAAGGAATCAGGTTGCCTTTCACACGTGTGCTGCCTTCCTCGTTTTATTTGTTCGCCGTGTTTTCTCCGTGCCTTGGGGTATATATAGATTCACGCTACCTTGCGTGCGCGGTTCATTCCGAGCGGGCTGAGTAACGACAGCTTTTGAAGCGGGCCGGTGCCTCCCAGCTCAGGGAGACCGTGACGTATGGGGAAGAACGGGGCGACAGCTTGCCGCTGCTGCGGATATACTTCAGTCACTGGGCGTAGGTTCTGGTTGTGGAGAGAAAGGGCTGATCCGATATTGTGGCCGGACTCGGGTCGGTGAACGCACGGCCCTGGTGGAGGAGGCTTTCAACAAGAAGAAACAGCAGGCATTACTAGTGTGAAGCGGCAGGGAGCGATCCGACATTGTTTCTCCGTTCAGTGTTTCAGTTTTGAAGCGAGTCACTGGGAGAGCTGCCTCGTGTCTGCGCTGAGAGGAAGGCACGCATCCGGACCGGTTATTGATGGGCGAGCGGCTCTTCAGGTTGTAGTATGCGTGCCGGTCAGCTTAGTGTCCGAGAGTCCTTTCCACCTGGTCTCCGCCTGTCACCTGGGCGTTTAAGTTGCACGGAGGTGGCGGCGCACAGTCTCGTTCGCTGGAGAAAGGGTGCGGTTTCCCATACCTGTATCCTCCCTTTCGGTCACCCTGGCCCTAAAGCACGAACAGCTCGGCGAACGGTCTTGTCTTTGGGCTCGGGTTGCCCGCTCGCTCTCTCTTTTTGCCCCTTGCGAGCAGAGGGAGTCTTTGAGGGATGGGTTTCGTGCAGGGACGCTCTCGACTCTTTATCTTGGTCTCGTATTTTCTGAGAAGGGTTCTCTGTAGAGAGCCGGTCCTGTTATACGGGATGTTCCTCAAACGAAGAAGAGGGATGCTGCCACGGTGGAGATGATGATCTAATAGACCCGGAGAGGGTGGAAAAATGGAGCGGGTCCGGTACAGGAGCTGACGTACAATATGCTGAGAGTGGATTTTGTTGTTGTTGATTGGGATTTTTTTTGGTGGTTTTTCTTTGTTTGTTTGTTTGTTAGCACGGAAGGGGGAGAGAGAGAAGGAATGGCAAAGCTTATGCGACGAAGAAAGGTTAATGCACTTAATCTTGTAGTTGACTGCTATTCGGAACAGTTTTCCATTCTCATTTGGACTTGCCGGTCTGAAATTAACGTAGTGTTTGTGAGTCTAAGCCTTGACTGGAGACCTGTTTTTTTCTTTCTCTGTCTGGACGAGACCAGGTGGGTAGAATTGCAGCGTGCGACGGTTCCGCGTGCCGGCCGGATTCGTGGAAATGGACCGGAGTGTCTCTGGGGCCCTGTGCCAGAATCATTCGTCCTCTCTGAAACCGTGTGGGATGCCTTGACCGCTGGGAACTAACGGGAGTTCTCTTTTCGTAGAGTTCAGTGCAGATCACATTTGAAGAGGGTCCTCAGTTGCCACCGGCCGCAAATATAAGTCGCGTGACGTGCAAAGGACAGTCGGACCACAGCATGGTAAGGCTTTGCCGTTCTGGATTATATGCCGTGGGGTTTCTCTGTCGACTGACGGCGTGTTCTACGGAGATCGCCGAGGCCTGCGCACGGCGGGAACGGTCGAACCGGGGAAGTTTCGGGCGAGGTCTGTTGCCGAGTTCGGAGGCCCGTTGACAGGCCTCTGAGATGCGGCTCCGGGGCTGCGCATCGGTGAGCTCTGGGAGAGCCCCGAGGGAAGATGCGTTGGTGGAGCTGGGGTGTACGGATGCTGGGCCCAAACGGCGGGGTCCTACAGCGGAGAGGAGAAGAGAGCTCCTGTCGTCGACGCGTCTTAACTGCCTGGTGTACAGAGTCCGCGATGGCAGGTTCGCAGTGCGGAACTGGGTCTGGGCGTAAACCTGATGTTTCTTTCCTGGCACGATGGATCGGCCTTGCCTGTCGCTGTTAGAGGTTGTTCCGTCAGACGCTGTTAGAGGCTGTTCCATCAGACGGCTGCCTCTCACCGAGGATATAAACGTCTCTTCCCTTCCTCTCCAGGTGCTCTCCTGCCACCTGTCGGCTGAAGCGGTGAAATTCCCCGTCTCTGTTACTCAGCAGTCCCCAGCCGCTGTTTCTGTGGACACCTATCACGTCACTTTGGCTGTGCTGCAGGCTCAGGTAACAGTTGTAAAAAGTTAAGTCGTTGAACTTGTTCTTTCACCTGGCCCGGTGTCGATCGAGCAAGGACGACCCGATTTAGCGCAAATAAAGGCCTCGTCGTGCCAGGAGAAGCAGCGTGCTGTCCTGAACGTTTGCAGGGTGGCGAATATTCCCGATCTGCGAGGCGAGTCCCATTTTCTGAGTCTTGTTCTGCACGTCTCGGCTACGTAACGTAGCCGTAACAAAATCCAGAGAGACTTGAGGCAAGGGGGGCGTTTATACCGGGT